TATATATATATATATATATACACACACACACACACACATATACACACACACACACACACATACATATATGTAAGTTTTTATTTAAATTCCAGTTAACATACAGTATAATATTAGTTTCAGGTGTACAATTTAGTGATTCAACATTTCCATACATAACTCATGCTCATCACAGCCCTCCTTAATCTCCATCATCTGTTTAACCCATCTCCTTAGTTACTTCCCCTTAGTTACTTAGTTACTTCCCCTCTAGTAACCATCAGTTTGTTCTTTTTCTTTTTTTTTAAAGATTTTATTTATTTATTTGACAGAGATCACAAGTAGGCAGAAAGGCAGAGAGAGGAGAAAGCAGGCTCCCTGCGGAGCAGAGAGCCCCATGCGGGGCTCGATCCCAGGACCCTGGGATCATGACCTGAGCTGAAGGCAGAGGCTTTAACCCCCATCAGTTTGTTCTTTATTGTGAGACTCTATTTCTTGGTTCCCTCTCTTTTTTTCCCCCTATGATTGTTTTGTTTGTTTTTAAAGATTTATGTGTTTATTTTAGAGAGAGACTGAGAGAGAGCACAAATGAGAGGGGCAGAGGGAGGGAGAGAAAATCCCAAGCCAATTCCACGCTGAGTGTCAAGCCCAAGGGGGCTCTATCTCATGACCCTGCAATTGTGATCTGAGCTGAAACCAAGAATTGGAAGCTTAACTGACTGCACCATTCAGGCACCCTCATTTATTTTGTTTGTTTGATTCTTTTTTTTTAGGATTTTTATTTATCTGACAGAGAGAGACAGTGAGAGAGGGAACACAAGCAGGGGGAGTGGGAGAGAGAGAAGCAGGCTTCCTGCTGAGCAAGGAGCCTGATGCGGGGATTGAGCCCAGGACTCCAGGATCTGAGGACCCCGGACCCCATGACCTGAGCCGAAGGCAGACGCTTAATGACTGAGCCACGCAGGCACCCCATGTTTGTTTTGTTTCTTAAATGCAAACTGGTGCAGCCACTCTGGAAAACATCTGGAGGTTCCTCAAAAAGTTAAAAATAGAACTACCTTACAATTCAGCAATTGCACTACTAGGTATTTGCCCAAAGAATACAAAAATATTAATTTGAAGGAATACACGCACCCCGGTGTTTACAGCAGCATCATCTACATTAGCAAATTATGGAAAGAGCCCAAGTGTCCACTGACTGATGAATGGATAGAGAAGATGTGGTATATATGTATACATACAATGGAATATTACTCAGCCATAAAAGAGAATGAAATCTTGCCATGTGCAACGATGTGGATGGAGCTAGAGTATAATGCTAAGTGAAATAAGTCAGAGAAAGACAAGTGCCATATGACTTCACTCGTAGGGAATTTAAGAAATATATTTTACTTGTGTAAACAAAATGAAAACATTTATCTTTTCTCCTTCCACGATTCCTCAAAAAAACTCTGAAACTATTATTGAACATTCTTATTTTCATGGCAATGTAACTATTTGCATAGGCTCAGCAAGAAGCTGTCCTCTTTGTGATAGGACATAATTTAAAACATTGATTATATGACCAAGGCTTTGACTGGAACGTCACATTTGAAAATGATGTATAAAATCAGACAGAACAGACAATTTTAAGGAAGTAAGGTTGACTTTATGGGGCCAAAGCTTACTAAGCCCTTTTGGAAAAAACCGGTTGACACCTGGCTTATAGGTTCTCAGCATTATAGGTGAATAAAGAAGGTCACTTCCCTGCAGGCCCAGGAAATTTAGGATGTTTTGGGGGAACCTCAAGAATAGAGGAATTCACCCAAATCTGTAGGTATTACAGGTGACATCTGATGGCAAATTCTGTTTGACTTCCTAGCATTGAGAGGCTTTTTTTTTTTCCTTAAAGATTTTATTTATTTATTTGACAGAGAGAGATCACAAGTAGGCACAGAGGCAGGAAGAGAGAGAGGGGAAAGCAGGCTCCCCGAAGAGTCCAATGTGGGGCTTGATCCCAGGACCCTGAGACCATGACCTGAGCCGAAGGCAGAGGCATAACCCACTGAGCCACCCAGGTGCCCCTTGTTTGTTTTTTTTTTTAAAGTGGGCTCCCATGCCCAGTGCAAGGCTTGAACTCATGACCATGAGATCAAGACCTGAGCTGAAATCAAGAGTGAGATGCTTAACTGACTGAACCACTCAGGCGCCCCTCATCGAGGGGCTTTTAAAGTTCAATCTGAGATTCCTTATAAAAACTTCCATAAAGAAAACTTAAGGGTGCCTGGGTGGCACAGTCATTGGGTGGCTGCTTTCGGCTCAGGTCATGATCCCAGTGTCCTGTAATTGAGGCCCACATTGGGCTCCCTGTTCGGTGGGAAGCCTGCTTCTCCCTCTCCTGCTCCCCCTGCTTGTGTTCCCTCTTTGTCAAATAAGTAAGTAAACTCTTAAAAAAAAAAAAAAGAAAACTTAAAAAGGTCTGTATTGTTGATTACTCTTCTTGTTGCATTCATGTAAATAATTAGGCCAACTTTAATGCAACTAAAGGTATTTTGTTCACAAAACTGTTCTTACCTTGATTACCTTTGATAGAAATTTTATGACAGTGGAAAAGTATACCACACCCAGAATCTAGTCTTGAGGTTTTATTATCTTCCTATAAACCAAGCTCGATCCTTCCATCTTAGACATTTTGTCAGCCTTCAGCAAATTCTTACTTCTCCTAGTTTCCTTCAGTATCTGGCTACAACTCTCCAAAGTGCTGTTTCCCATTTTCCTCCTCTCCTGAGAAAGAATGGTATGATCACTGAGATCTAAAACCTAATCCTTTTTGGGACTCAGGTTCTCTTGTGGTCGCCCTTTCCTCTGGGATCTGAAAACACCTTGTAAGCTAAGCCCAGACAATTTGATATAAGCATCAAAGAACTCATCACTACAAATCACGTGTTGGCAACCTTTGTGCCTGGACTTGCTGCCACTTGGGTTACCCCAAAAGCCACCAGAACACCTGTGTCTTCCATACTCTGCTCTCAGAAATAGCCATGGCTGTGACATTGACGTCTATGCCGTCACTACCAACATTCAGACTATAAAACAAGAAATCTATCAGATTGCCACTGCTGTCCTCACACCACCATGTAAAGATGCTTAAGGGGTCAGTGTCTTCTCAAGTGACTGCCTGCCCTCTGGACTCAGTAACTGGGTTTATAGTCTGTTCCCACCATTAGCCTTTGTTTTCTTTTTGTTTCCATAGAGATGCTCCTCATTAAATGCCTGATTGCTCACGTCATCCACCAAATATCCTCTTCTACCAAGTCTCAACAGATGGTTCAGCTCGTCCTTAATAAACAAAGGGCAATCAAATGAGAAATGGACTTACATTGTTCGGAGGAAAGAAAAATGTCTCTTCTTCCTGTCTCTTACTGTCTGTTGCAGTTAACATCAGAAGATCGGACTCCTGTCTCCCAGTGTCTGAGGGAGGGTAGAAGCCTAACTTCGATAAGCCCCAGTTAGCAAACCCAGATCCGTACATGGACCAAACCTTCCCTTTTTTATAATTTTCCAATTTCCAGACTCTACTGAGATCATGCTCATCCCCCTCCCTACTCCTTCATTCTCCCTTTATTTTTTTAAGATTTTATTTATTTATTTGAGAGAGAGAGGGTGGGGGGAGAAAGGGAGCATAAGCAGGGGGAGGGGCAGAGGAAGAGGGAGAAGCCGACTCCCTGATTCGGGGCTCAATCACAGAATCCTGGGATCATGACCTGACCTGAAGGCAGACACTTAACCAACTGAGCCATGCAGGTGCCCTTCATTCTCTCTTTAAAACGCCCAGTAACTTCTGTATAAATCGGGAATTCAGTTCACACTAGACTCTTCCCTACTGCAATAGTTGTTACTGATTGAAATGTATCCTTACCACTCTAAGTAGTATCTGGCTTTACCTTTACAGCCTACAAGCATCTCTTCGAGTCCCTGCTGTTAATTCTTCAGGTATATTCTCAGAAGTGGAATTGTTAGCTTTTACAGTGATCCTGTTTTTAATTCCTTGAGGAAATACCATAGTGTTTTCCATAGTGGCTGCACTATTTTACATTCCCGCCAATAGTGCACAAGGGTTTCAGCTTCTCCAGACCCACAGCAATACTCGTTATTTTCTGGGTTTTCTACTACTAGCCATCCTAGTCAGTGTATGTTGTTGTGATTTTGATTTTCATTGGCTTAACGATTAGTGATTTTGCATATCTTTCCATGTGCTTATTGACCATTTGTATATTTTCACTGCATGTTCTATTTTTTTTTTAATTTTTTAAAAATTTATTTACTTGACAGAGATCACGAGTAGGCAGAGAGGCAGGCAGAGAGAGAGGAGGAAGCAGGCTCCTCGCCGAGAAGAGAGCCCGATGTGGGGCTCCATCCTGGGACCCTAGGATCATGACCTGAGCCAAAGGCAGAGGCTTTAACGCACTGAGCCACCCAGGTGCCCCTGCATGTTCTATTTCTTTCTTTTTTTTTTTTTTTAAGATTTTATTTATTTATTTGATAGAGAGATCACAAGCAGGCAGAGAGGCAGGCAGAGAGAGAGGAGGAAGCAGGCTCCCTGCTGAGCAGAGAGCCCGATGCGGGGCTCGATCCCAGGACTCCGAGATCATGACCTGAGCCGAAGGCAGCGGCTTAACCCACTGAGCCACCCAGGCGCCCCGCATGTTCTATTTCTTAAGCTGGGTGGTGGCGACAAGGGTATTTCTTCCGTTTTTATTCCTTAAGTTCTACTTAAATATTATTCTTCTTAAAATCTACAAAAAAAAAAAAATCTACAAAAGTACAGTAGGAGATGGGGGTGAACCCTGGTGGAACACGGAGTAGCCAGTGGCTTGGGTTCGTGGATTTCAGGCAGCCATATCAGGCTGTTAATCTGTATTTCCCTGACATCTTTTTAGAGGCCCTCCCTCTGCCTGTGTGTCAGAACAGACTTCTACAGCCCTTGCAAGCTGGACAGCACACTGTGTAAGCCTGTCCCCTCAGCACTAGCTGACTAGACTCGAGTGGACATCTGGCTCGAGCTGTGGCAACCACATCCCCCCTCATGGGAATCTAGAGTTGGGTCCAGGGAACTCTAGTCAGATGGCCAAAGTCCTTGTACTTATTAGGTAATGGACCTAGGCGAACTAAGAAGTCACCCAGTGCGGAAGGCCACTTTGGAGCACTGTACACTAATGAGGAAGTGGATGGAACTAGTTTATAGTGAGAAGAGGATAGAATGAAACTGAGAGGCATCAAGTCCCAGTCCACAGCTTGGTTCCAGACTGCTTTCTGGCTCCCAGGCTTTGCCCAGAAGAGCTCTTATCCCACTGTATACTATAATCCTCACAGGGACTTTTTCTTTGGATTTGGGGAGCTAGTCCTAATTCCTTTTAATAACCTCCTTTTTATCTGGGCTAGCCTGAGTGGGGCCTTCTGCTTCCTGCAGTCAAATGATCCTTCAGCCGAAGGGCCCATTATTCCTGTATTTGAGGGGTGGCACAAGTCTGGGATGGAGAAAAAGACTGTTCTTACTTCAAAATAGCCAGAAATAGACTGAATCTCTTCCAGCTGAAAGCCAGGAGCAATGGGTACCAGGAAGTTTGGGCACAGCTCTGCCATGGGCTTCTCCTTCTGGGCTTTGCAGAGGAAAGGGGCGTGCAGGCTTTGCCAGATGTCAACTGTGCAGCCTTGCCCTCAGGATCTGCCTGTGTTGGCTTCAGCCTACATTCCGTACCTTAACTTCTCCTACTTGCTAACGGGAGACAGAAGCACTTTCATCTACTCTTTCACTGGCATATCATGGTTTTTGGCACAACTTATTTCTCCAGCAAGGCTGTGAATCCTTGAAGGAAGAAATGTCCACTTGCCTATATTTTATAGCTCCCTACGTACTTATTATAGGATGAGTATATAACAGTTACTTATTCAATCCATGGTTACACCTCAGTGCTTATAGTTTCTTTCCATATTTAAGAAAGTCAAGAAATGAAGAAAGTACCTTGTTCAAAAGCTCTGCTCACATTGTCAGTCAGTTCTTTCTGTTTAGCTGAAAGAGAAAATCACTATCTTAATTTTTCTGTTTATACAGACTTGAGATGTGAAGATAACACTTTTTTTTTTTTAAGATTTTATTTATTTATTTGTCAGAGAGAGAGCACAAGCAGACAAAGAGGGAGGCAGAGATAGAGAGAGAAGCAGGCTTCCTGCTGGACAAGGAGCCTGATGCAGAACTCGATCCCAGGACCCCAGGATCATGACCTGAGCTGAAGGCAGCGGCTTAACCTACTGAGCCACCCAGGCGTCCCTTGAAGATAACACTTTATAGCTCGTTTCAGCACACACAACAGGGAGCTTAGATTCCAGGTGAGGCCTCATAAGCCCTGTGCCCACGTGTCCCAAGACGGCAGCTGTGTTTTAATTTATTTGTTTTTATTTGAGAGAGAGAGAGAGAGAGAGAGAGAGAATGCACGCATGTACCCAGGGGAGGAGCAGAGGGAGAGAGAGGGAATTTTAAGCAGACTCCCTACTGAGTGCAAAGCCTGACTCCAGGCTCAATCCCCCAACCCTGAGATCATGACCTGAGCTAAAACCAAGAGTCACGCACTCAACAGACTGAGCCACCCAGGCTCCCTGGCAGCTTCTGTTTAGGGCAATGTTGTTTTCCTACCTCTGTAACGTCTGAGGGGCAATCCCTAAGGCTTGTAAAATGGCTATACAATCATTAAAAAAGAAAAAAAAAAAGGATAAGGAAATGCTTTATCTCCACCAAGCAGTATGAATTTTTTAGCTTATAGGTAGAAAATTAGCAAGCTGGGATTGCCTGTGGGCAGGGCATCACAGTGTTTCAAATAACCACTTGCAAATTATACAGCCTCCCAGGAAAATGAAACATTTAGATCCTACTGTACTATAAGAGAGAAGATGCAAGATAACGTAAAGGAGCAGCTACCTCGTGTTTCTGCTGTATCTTCATTAGGAAATGAAGAATTTTACTGTAAGTGTGTTTTCCAGATATAAAAAGTCTCCATCACTTCTAGGTCGCTTGCTTTCAAAGCACTTTCAAATACATTATAACTCCATTGTAGGCGGAGGTGTTGGGAGATGTTGAGAGATGGCCCTGGTCATATGGTTGGTTGAGTGGAGGAGCTGGGAGCAGACCCTATCTATAGACTCCTAGACAGTGGTGGGAAACTAGCAACATGGTGTTGACAAAAGAACACTGGATGAGGAGTCTAGAGGCTCAGAAGTTCTGCCCAGATCTAACCAGCTCTATGCCCTTGAATATTTGCTTACTTTAGGTCTTAGCACATGCCTGTATGGGAAGAAACTTAGGAATTAATCTAAATGAAGGTCAGTGACCTGTTCAAAACCAGACATTCACTATAGGGCCAGAATAACCCCCACCAGTGACTGAGCACCTGCTATGGGTCAGGCACTGTGTTATGTGTTTTACATGTTTTATTTGATTTAACTTAATCCTTGCAACAACCAGTACTAATGTTATCTCCATTTTACCGATGAGGAAACTGAGGCTCAGAGGGGTTAAGTCACTTGCTCAAAGTCACATGCAAAGTCAATGGCAGTGTTGACACTGCACTCAAGAACCCCTCACAGCAGATCATGTTCCTCTGTCTTCCAAAGTTGTGCAGAGGATTTTTGACTGTGAACCTTGAGGTCTTCGTCCAACACCACCCTGCCCTAAGGCTGTTGATACATCCCTAATTGACAGACTAACCCCCAACTCCCCATTTTACTGATTTTAGCTTCCTTTTTCATTATTTACTCAGTTTATTTACTGAGCCCGCGTTATATACACCATGTACATGGGCTGAGCAGAAAGTCTCTGCTTCTATGGATTTTCAGTCTAAGGAGGGAGGGAGGTTGACATTGGTCAAATAATCTCCTGTAAAACAGTAAGGTTATAACTGTGATTAGTCTTATAAGGGAGAGGTACCCACTGCCAAAATGTTATCAATAAAGAGGTTCTCTGAGGAAGTGATGACTGCCCCCAGATCGGGTAGAGGAAGAGTTCACTAGAGGAAGGAGAAGAGGGTTTTAAGTAGAAGAACAGTATGTGCAATGGCCCTAGGGTAGAAAGGTGCTTGGAACAGATGAAGAACTAGAAATGGCCTGTGTGGCTAGAGTGGAGGGGCAAATGGGAGGAAACGGAGTTCAGACTATACCGGGCCTTGTAAGCCATACTAAACACTTTGGTCTTTAACCTGAGAGCAGTGGGAAGCCACTTAAAGTTTTAAAGCAACTTTAAAACTTAAAGGTTACCTAGGATAACCTAGGTAAAGATTAAAACCCAGGTAAAGATTAGATTTGGGTTTCAAAAACTCTCATAAGTGACAATGTAGGAATATATTCGAAGGTATAGCTAGACCAGCGTGGAGCTATTACAGCTGTCCAGGTGAGAAAGAACGGCAGCTTGGAACAGGGTGCTGGCGGTGAAGACAGATTTAGGACACATTTAGAAGGTCAGCATTTCAGGATTTGGTGATGACTGCCTATGGGGTAAAGGAGGACAAATTTTTAAAAACACCTCCTTGGGGCACCTGGGTGGCTCAGTGGGTTAAGCATCTGCCTTCAGCTTGGGTCATGATCTCAGGGCCCTGGGATGGAGCCTGAGCCCCACATCGGGCTCTGCTCACCAGGGAGCCTGCTTTCCTCCTCTCTCTCTGCCTGCCTCTCTGCCTACTTGTGATCTCTTTCTCTGTGTCAAATAAATAAAATATTAAAAAAAAAAACAAAACACCTCCTCAGTGTGTTTTTTGGACTTGTGCAACTGGATGGTGTCATTCACTTAGAGAACATCAGCAGAGGAATAGGTTGTGGTTTTGTTTTGCTTTAGGAGGGAGGGGAGAGGCTCATGAATTCCATTTTGGACTCACTGCGTTGGAATATATAAACTCCATGAAGACACGAGCCATGTCTTTCTTGTTCACTGTGTCTGCACAATGCTTGCTACACAGTGGGCATGCCAAATATTTGTGAAAGTACATATGTGCATACAATTGGAGTGAGAACGTGGAACTTTTTCGATGTGGCATGGTTAATTTTATGTGTCAACTTGGTTGGGCTATGGTGCCCAGCTGTTCGGCCAAATGCTAGTCTAGATACTGCTGTGAAGGTATTTTGTAGATGTGATTGACATCTATAACCAGCTCACTTTAAGTAAAGATTAGCTTGGATAACGTGGGCTCAGAAGTCCTGCTTGAGTTTCCAGCCTACTGGTCTGCCTGACATATTTTGGACTTGTTAGCCCTCACAATTTTGTGAGCCAATTCCTTAAAATAGGTTTTTCTCTTTCTCTCTCTCTACATAAATACATGTATACTATCGGTTCTGTTTCTCTGGAGAACCCTGACTGATATAGTGTGAAATAAAGCAGAAAACAAAGCAATATGTGATCAGAAGTCAGTTTTTCAATCTTTGCTCTGCAATGTGACCTTGGGCATTTCAATGAACTTCTAAGGCCTAATTATTCTTGTCAGAGACAATAATAACATATAAATGATGTCATGGGTAGGAAGGAGGATTTTAATCTGCAAAATATTATGATGTTCTTGGTTTAAGGCTGCTTTCTGGAAGGTTAGAGATGTTGCAAGTCTAACCTCCAGACAAAACTGGTTTCAGTATCACCAAGAAAAAGAAATACTCCCTGAATCATTATGATGACCTATATGTAGTCTTTATATTCATTTTTCATTTGACCTTGGACATGTACTCATAACAGCAATAAAATGCATTCAGTAGTATTTTATCTTTTACCTCGGACAATAGATTCAATCTCTTTCATGGCAGCTTCACTTTGAGCTTCTGCAAGTTTTTCATTGATTTCCATTATTTCCATGAGGAACTGCCTGTCCATTTCATAATCTGTCCCTTCAGGAATCTCTACTCCATGGAGCTTTAGCTATTGGGACATAAAGCAGAGAAAAGTAAGGTTGGTTGAAGAGACTGTGGCTAGAGTCATAAATCCTACTTACAGAATATAACAATACGATTCATTAAAAAACAAAACTTGAACTGTCTCAATAGTGAGAATGTGAAGGTAGGGTATGGGAGTTACCCTGAGACAGGACTGCTGGGACAGGATTCCTTTCTGCTACTTGGAACTGTGTGACCCCAGGGGAGTTGTTCCTCCACTTGGGAGACTGAATTAGGTATCTGTAAAGGCTTACTAAATCCTAAAATTCTAAGGTGCTAAAGTCTTCCCTCCCACACAAACAATGCCAAAATTACTCTTCCCTGAACACTATCACCATCCAATCCTTGAAATTTACAGAAAATGGTACTAAAAAACGCACTTAGGCAAGTAAGATATACAAATACTCAGAGAAAACTATTCTCATTCAGTATCACTGAGGCTAATTATCTTTGGGTCCCTAGACTAGCTCAGGTCGCAAGCACTCTTCCGCTGAATACAGGGGAGCAGTTGTCCCTCAGCCCAATGGATACCATGTAGTCATAGAAGGATTGGGAAATCACCTTACAAGGTATAGTCCCCTGCTCAGGGGAGCCAGAAGGGTCTTATAGGCATCATTCACCAGGGTTGAATGCTTCTCTGAGAAGTCCTTTTCAGTCTGTTAGTGGAGATGAAGATAATCTCATTACCATCCAAATTAGCCACATTACATTCCCAAACTCTTTCATAAAATATGGATGGGCAGACAACTAAGGAAATCTCCTAGGTAGAACTGGTGTAGGATGAGCGGTCTTTATTCTCAACCAATGGGTTCTAATTCTTCTGGGAAGTTAGATAAAAGCTGTGAGTGCAGGGCAGGTTCAGGGCCTGACTACTAGCCGGGGTCAGGCTGTCCCAGGGTGGAGCTGGTTGTTTAGCTCTGTCTTTCATAATCACATCACCACAAGGCCACTGCCACCCACCCTGTGTACACTAGTGTTTGGGTATGATTAGGGGTGGACAACAGGCTACCTGAGACCTCTGGCTGAAGAAATCAGGGTGGACAAGACGCTGTAGTTCCTGGTACCTAGTCTGGAGCTTTGCTGTGTCAACTCTGAAGGCACGGTTGCTGTAAGGAAATTGGGAGATAAAAACCATACACCAAATATTTATAGATTTGTGTACTATGGGCCTGGTTCCTGTTCTCACAGGGGTAAATGCAATAAACATGGAGAGAGAGAGAGAACTTCAAAAAGTGCTGTGAAGGAAAAGAAAATAGGGTCAGAGAAAATGGTAAATGTGGTGGACAAAGAAATAACATTTGAGCTGAGACCTGAATGATGATGAAAAATAACCAAAGATCAAAGAAAAAAAGTCATCAAGAGGCAGAGTGAACATGCAAAGTCCCTGAAGTGCGGACATGATTGGCACGCTTGCAGAACTTAAAGGATAGTGTCAGGGCAGCACATCATAAACGCAGAATGACTGGTAGGCACCAATCCCAGAGTTAAGGGGAAGGACCATTCCTGAATCCCACCCTGTATTTTGAAGGCCCAAGTCCTTTCATCTTCGCCTCTCACTTTATTTTAACCCAGTTCCTTTCACTTTCCATTCCCAGAGCCTTCCCTGTCTTAGCAGTTTAGCTCTGCTGAAATTTCATCACCTCTCCAAGCTCCTTGAGGTTCGGAGGAAAACAGGAAAAACAGCCACTTCTGACTCTCTCCCTCCAGTTCTCATTTCTCCCTTAGACTCAGCCCACAGTATTAAGTTTTCCGGTGCTTTTACACCCCACTCTGTTTTTCTTACTAGATTTATTTTATTATAAAAGGATGTAACTCAGGAACAACCGCATGGAAAACATGCATGGGTAAAAGGGCGGGGAAGCTTCCAAGCCTTCTCCAGGCACACTACTCTTCCATCTCCACGTGTTCACAAACCTGCAAGCTCCTTAACTCCCTTATTTTGGATAGCACCTCAGTACGCCTTTCTTAAAAGTCTCAACCCAACTTTAACCATTCTGATCCTATCCATCCATCAACTCTAAGCAGCCACTCTAGCACACTTCCCTCAGGCTTCTCCTCTCAGGGCCCCGCCCTCAGGCTTCCCTCCACTGAAGCCTCCCTCCTCCAATTTCCCATAAGTTCCTTCTCCGCCCCTCCACTCCTCCTTCCCTTCTCGTCTCCATTCCTCAGAGGCCCTATCCTCAGGCTCACCCCTCAATTTCCTCACTCACCCGCCGCAATGGCACCCTCCGTGCTCCCAGGCCCCGCCCCTACGGCTCCGCCCACCGATTTAACCGGTCCCGCCTTCTCCTTTGCAACCCCTAAATCGCCAGCCCCGCGTCTCTCTTGCCCCAGCGTGTTTCTCGAAACCGCCTCCCGTACCAGTCCAGGAGGCTGAAGTAATCTCGAGTGGGGTCAGGTGGCTGCAGGGCGCGGCACTGTGGACAGAAGAACCCATCACCACGCATGGGGCTCCCTGGGCCACCGCAGTTCCAACACTGGGGGGAACTGTTTCCCGCCAGAGACGCAGCACTGCAGCTTAGCGGTCTCCTTCCGAGGACCCCTGGCGGCCACAGGCCCCGCACCCGGAGCAAGGCGCCAGTTCTCCCGCCCCACATCTGGCCGCGGCCTATGCCGCCGCGGTCACCGGCTCGGGGGTTGGAGAGAGCGGCCGACCTGACTAGTGCTGCTGATTGGCTGAGGAACTGACGGGGCGGGATCCTGGATACCGAGTGTCCCGCTCCTCATTTTAAACTACAACTCCCAGCAAGCATTGAGGTTACGTGTGGCCGGCCACATCCGCCGCTGTTCATTGGTCCGGCAGCGACGAAGGGTGTTCTGATTGGCTGAGGGTGGAGTTTGTATGTGCTTGGTTAGCGCCACGCTGCTGGCTGCAGCTGCTGTTGAGTGTTTGGCCTCAGGTGGGCTCACGCGGTGAGTCATAGTGGGGAACTTATCTTGGGTGTTTGGGGTTCGATTCTCGTCCCCAGGGTATTAATGCACGCTGAATCTCCAGAATTTTCTCTTTGTGTGGTTTTTGAGCTCGGTCGGGGGGAGGAGAGGAATGCGTGGGTGACTGTCTTCCATTGTAGATGAACTTCGAGGTGAAGTTCACTTCCCCTGTTACTTACAAGCTGAAACTGGCCCAGACGTGCAGCGTAAGAAAGGACGAAGTTGTGTTCTTCAAAACCAGAGGGAAGTTGGTTTGTAAAGAGTTATTTAAATGTTAGTAATTATTACCATATTTTAATAAAGATTTTTTTTTTAATTTATTTGACAGACGGAAATCACAAGTAGGCAGAGAGAGAGAGGAGGAAGCAGGCTCCCTGCTGAGCAGAGAGCACGATGTGGGGCTCAATCCCAGGAACCTGGGATCATGACCTGAGCCGAAGGCAGAGGCTTTAACCCACTGAGCCACCCAGGCGCCCATATTTTAGATTCAATTTTGAAAAAAAAAACGATTAAAAACCCAATCTTAGCAGCTAGGCGCTGCAGGAGCTGGAGACACGCTGACTTGTGTAGGAGGATGCCCAGCGAGTGTCCATAAGTAAGAGTGTGGGATGGGGTGGCGAGGAGATGGTAGGAAGGCACCAACCCATCTTGGGGCTCAGTTTCTGTATTTGAAAAAAAAAATTGTGTTATACTTGTAAACCCCTTTCCCACTGTCGGATTCTTTGGGACTGGAATTCTCCCAATTATCAGGCATTACTGGGGGAGGAGACTTAATGTATCATCTCATTTAATTCTCAAGATCTATCTATTCAGTGAGGTGATCTACCTGAAGGTCATGCAAGGATTTGACTCAGGCATCCGACTCCAGACTTGTTTACCTCTAATATTTCCATATACTTCCTCCTCCTCATGGCTGAGGCTTATGTGGTTTCCGTCTGTCTACTGGACCCTTACCATAACCGGGGATAGCAGCCACTTCTTGACCGTCTTTTGTCAGTTCTCAGGGTGGAGAAGTCTTGCTCAAAAAGCTGTAAGAGGTTGCAGCCTTGATTGAGGCAGTAGTATTAGAGCTTTAGGTCCTGGCATGGCACACTCAGTTCTGGGATCACCTTTGAGGTGTGGTTTAAGAAAAAGTCATCAGTATCTTTGTATCTGGAAAGCTATCTGAGTATGGGTATCTGGAGAGAAGAGAGAATGCCCCCCCCCCTTTAATAAAAAAAAAGAATCACACTAGGGATTTAAACTTAGGGATTGACAGTTACTTAGACTTGACTGTTATCAGAGTTTAAACGTTCATCGAATTAACTCTAAAGTGAGGGTGGGAACCTGTTATGGTCCCCTGTGAAGAGCTTGTTTTTGTAGGAATCTGTTGGGCTGAAAGACCATTTAGGATGAAAGGTGAACGCCAATCGTTACTCAGCATCACAAAGGCTAGGTGGAGTTGTTTGTGGGAGACTTCTTTGTGTTACTGCTTCATTAATAGCCTGGCCCTCAGTTAGGAGTCAGGGAATCTAGAGTGAACAAACAGAATGTTGTCTTCACCATCCTGGGGCTGGCTTGGGGGAGGAGGGGTATCTGTGACATTTAATGTAAATGGTCACCCCTGGCCTGGTGCAGTGAATTAGTTTATGTTTCTCTTTGGCCATCTTTTACCCGAAGCCACATGACCCTTCCTCTTCTTTATTGTTCCTAAACTTGAAATTTAAGTATAGTGTTGATTGTATTAATGAATATCTTTTAAGTTTCATTTCTAATTTTTATTTTTTTGAGATTTTATTTATGTATGTATTTGTTTGACAGAGAGAGAGAGCAAGCAGGGGGAGCAGCAGAGGGAGAGTGCTGAGCCGAAGGCAGGTGCTTAACTGACCGAGCCACCCAAGTGCCCCTCATTTCTAATTTTTATTTTTATTTTACTTATGTATTTATTTGACAGAGAGAAGGAGGGCACAAGGAGGGGTAGAAGCAGGCAGAGAGAGAGGGAGAAGCAGACTTGCCACTGAATAGGGAGCCTGACATGGGGCTCAATCCGAGGACCCCAGGATCATGACCCAAGCTGAAGGCAGGCACTTAACTGACCAAGCCACCCAAGTACCCCACATTTCTAATTTTTAAAAATTAGATGAATGTAAGCTGTTATAAAGTGTTCCTTCCCACCCCCAACTTAGTTCATTTCTTTTAACTTATTTATAACCTTCATATTATTTTTTATTTTTTTTTCTCTGTGATTTGTGGCTGTCATACAAAAAACTGATCGAGTTTGAAATGATAGGATGAAAAGCTCAGCCCAGAAGAGCTATAGATCAATCTAGTCTTAGAATTTTAACTTTTGCAGAACATGCTTGCTCTGGATTTTTTTTTTCCCTGATGTTAAATATGCCCATCCTTTACTTTTTTATTTTTATTTTTTAAAAGATAGAGATTGCCCTTGTATGGGTGTGGGGAGAGTGGAAGGGCAGGAGAGGCTTGAGAGAGAGAATCCCAAGCAGGCTCCACACCCAGTGCAGATCCTGGATGTTGCAGGGCTGGATCTCATGACCCTGAGATTATGACCCCAGCTGAAATCAAGTGTCCGAGGCTTAACTGACAAGAGCCACCCAGGTGCCCCTGCCTGTTCTTCCCTCTTGAACTTTTAGTCTTGTTTCTTAAAACTTACCTTATTATCGGACACTTACTTTTGAGGTCGTGATGTCTCGAGAGACGGAGGGGGAGTGTCAGCAGTCCCACGGCAGTGGCGCCTGTTCCCAGTCCCAAGGTGGTTTCTCTCAGTCTCAAGGCATCTCCTCCCAGACACACGGCGGCTCTTCACAGTCTCAAGGCACGTCCAGTTCCAGCAGCACGGCACCCACATCTAGCCAGTCCTCTCACTCCAGCTCAGGAACGCTGAGCTCTTTCGACACAGTGTCTACCCAAGAACTCTGTTCTATTCCTGAGGACCAAGAACCTGAGGAGCCTGTCCCTGCCCCTTGGGCTCGATTATGGGCCCTTCAGGATGGATTCCCCAATCTTGGTAAGACCTTTTGTTACATCATGTAAAATGTTAATTGTTCACAAAAATAGTTCGAGAAAGCTGTAGCAGAGACCTCAAGGCACTTCTGGAATGATTCCGAAGTTTGAAGATGATGAAAGATGGAACCAAGGAAGCAGTTTTGGGGGGAATTTACTGACTCTTACCTGCTGTGGATCCCCCCTCATTTATCTTTTAACAAATATTAATTGGGCATCTGTAATGTTCTGTCCATTGGAGCATCTGAAGAGAGCAGCAGGCCATTTCCCTAGCAAAATGCTGATTCATGCAAACTTGCAAACAGTAATGGACAAATCCACAGAAACCACCACTTAACCCCTGCTGTGGCAGCTTCAGAACATCCATTTTACAGTTTCAGAATAGGGAAGGCTGTTTGTTGACTGTTATTTATTAACTCAAAATAGCCAGCCTTTTAATTTAAATATGTTCATCCTCTATGACATTTTCTGATTCCAGCAGTAAGATTTCACTCTAGGTATGTTTGAAATAGCATTTTGATATTAAAAAAGAATGACTAATATATTATTTGTACCTTATAACTCACTGTTTCGTCTCCAACATTGATGACTTGAAAAAGAAACTGTAAAAAGTAGAGAATAATAGAGGAATATTCATAGGTACGACTTTAAATTTAGAAGTACTTGAAGCTGTTTTCTTTTATTCCTGTAAGCCATAGTTTTAAGATAGGCTCACGGCTTATATGGTGAATGGGAAACATATGGTGAGAAAGGGTGAAGTGGGCTGGATCACTATGAAAAGTGAGATTATAAAAATCTGAAAATCCTGGTAGGGGGAATAGCATAAAGCCTGTTTTCTTCTAAATGTTTTATAGGTTTACCCTACTGATCCATTTTGAGTTGCTTTTTGTATATGGTATGAGGTGGAGGTCCAGATTCATTCTTTTCATGTGAATATCCCAGTTGTTTGAGAACTTTCTTGAAAAGACTCTTCTTTTTTTTTTTTTCTTTTAAAGGTTTTATTTATTTGAGAAAGAGAGCATGAGAGACAGCATGAGGGAGAGGCAGGAGCAGACTCCCTGCTGAGCAGGGACCCAGATACAGGGCTCAGTCCCAGGACCCCTGGGACCATGACCTGTGTCGAAGGCAGACACTCAACCTACTGAGCCACCCAGGTGCCCCTTGAAGAGACTATTCTTTATCTGCTGAATGGTCTTGGCACCCTTGTCAAAAATCATTTGGCCATAAATGTGAGGGTTTATTTCTGGACTTGCAGTTCCATTCTCTTGGTCTATGTGTCTGTCCTTTTATGCAAGCACCACAAAATCTTGATTGCTGTAGCTTTGTAGTGAGTTTTGAAATCCAGAGTGTGAGTCCTGATTTGTTCTTTTTCAAGATTGTTTTGACTATTCTGGGTCCCTTGTCCATATGAGTTTTAAGATGAGCTTGTCACTTCCTGCAAAGAAGGCAGCTTGGATTGTATTAGGGTTTACATTGAATCTATAGATCAGTTTGGGGAGTACTGACATTTTTTTTTTTAAGATTTTATTTGTTTATTATTCTAGAGAGAGTGAGCAAGGGTGGGGGTGGGGAGGAGTAGAGGCAGAAGGACAAGCAGACTCTGCCCTGATTACAGAGCTGGATGTGGGGCTGGACCCCATGACCCTGAGATCATGACCTGAGCCGAAACCAAGAGTACGATGCTCAACTGACTGAGACACCCAGACACCCCTGGGTTTTGACATCTTAATAATACCAAGTCTTGGGGCAGAGGGAAAAGCAGACTCCCTGCTGCGCAAGGAGCCCACCTCGGGGCTCAATCCCAGGACCCTGAGATCATGATGTGAGCCGAAGGCAGAGGCTTAACTCACTGAGCCACCCAGGTGCTCAGAGGGGTTATATATTTATAAAATTTTTTCTCTGGTAATTGTCCTCTCCCTGCTCCCCCAAGCTTTATTTACATGTAATCAACATGAAACATTGTATAAATTTAAGGCATACAGTGTGTTAATTTGGTACAGTTATATATTGCAAAATGATTACTACCATTAGTATTAACTAATACTCTCATCACATCGCATAATTACCATCTCTTTTTTGTGGTGAAAATACTTAAGAGGTGCCTGGGTGGCTGAGTCAGTTAAGTATCTGCCTTTGGTTCAGGCCATTATCCCGGGGTCCTAGGCTCAAGCCCCACATTGGGCTCCTTGCTTAGCGGGGAGTCTGCTTTTCCCTTTCTTTCTGCTTGCCACTCCCCCTGCTTGTGCTCTCTCTTTCTCTAGCAAATAAATAAAACTAAAACCTTTTAAAAAAAAGTATTAAAAAAATTTAAGATCTATGTTCTTAGCAACTTTCAAGTATATGATATAGTATTACTAACTGTAGTCACCACACTGTAAGGTAAATCACCAGAACTTACTATCTTGTACTTGGAAGTTTGTTCCCTATAACAAACATCTCCCCATTTTCCCACTCTCAAGTCCCTGATAACTAGCACTTTCTATTTATATGAGTTTAGGTTTTTCATTATTTTTTTTTAAAGACTCTATTTATTTGCCAGAGAGAATGAGAGCGAGAGAGAGAGAACAAGCAGAGTGGCAGGCAGAGGGAATTGACTCCCTAGCAGGGAGCCTGATGTGGGACTCAATACCAGGACCCTGGGATCATGACCTGAGCCAAAGGCAGACACTTAACTGACTGAGCCACTCAGGCGTCCTAAGTTAGGTTTTTTAGATTCCCCATATATGACATGCAAGTGAGATTGTACAGTATTTGTCTTTTTTTACTTATTTCATTTACAGTGCCTTCAGAGTCCATCTATGTTGTTGCAAATGACAGGATTTCATACCTTTTTAATGGCTGAATAATATTCCAGTATGTATGTGTGCATTTGTGTGTGTGTGTATATATATATATATATACACATATACTATATTTTCTTTGTCCATCGACTTTTGGACATTTAGGTTGCTTCTAGGTGTTGGCTGTTGTAAACAGTTATGCAGTGAACATGGGGTACATACATCTTTTCATAAATACCCAGAAGTGGAATTGCTGGATCATATGGCAGTTGTGTTTTTAATTTTTGGAGGAATCTCCATTCTTCTTTCCATAATGGCTGCACCAATTTACATTCCTGCCAGCCACGCACCAGGGTACCTTTTAATCCACTTCCTGGCCAACACAGCAAACTTCTTGTCTTTTATTTTTTTTTAAGATTTTATTTATTTATTTATTTATTTATTTGAGAGAGGGAGAGAGAGAGAGAGAAAATATGAATGGGGGAGGGGCAGAGGGAGAAGCAGAATCCCTGTCGAGCAGGGAGCCCAATGTGGAGCTCAGTTGTGTGATATGACCTGAACTGAAGGCGGACGCTTAATCCACTGAGCTACCCAGACACCCCTTAGCATAATATTTCAAAGTTCATTCAATTTTAGGGGTGCCTGGGTGGCTCAGTTGTTAAGCGTCTGCCTTTGGCTTAGGTCATGATCCCGGGATCCTGGGATCAAGCCCAGCATCAGGCTCCCTGCTCAGCGGGAAGCCTGCTTCTCCCTCTCACACTCCCCCTGCTTGTGTTTCTACTCTTGCTGTCTCTATCAAACATATAAATAAAACCTTAAAAAAAAAAAAGTTCATTTTTATTATATATCAATTTTATTTCTTTCTTGGTTAGATAATATTTCATTGCATGTATATATCATATTTTGTTTATCCATTCTGTTGATGGACATTTTGGATTATTTCTTTGTTTTGGCTGTTGTGAATAATGCTGCTATGAATATTCACATACAACTGTCTGCTTGAGTACCTGTTTTCAGTTTTTTTGTTTATATCTAGGAATGGAATTGCTGGAGAATATGGTAATTCTGTGTTTAATTTTTTGTGTTTTTTGTTTTTTAAAAATTTTGATTTATTTACTCTTTAAAGTTATTGTGGTTTTTTTGTTTTGTTTTGTTTTGTTTTTTTAATTTACCTGACAGAGAGAGACAGCAAGCGCACAAGTAGGCAGAGCAACAGGCAGAAGGAGAGGGAGAAGCAGGCTCCTCACCTAGCTCCTTGCCTAGCTCCTCACCTGAGAGTTTCAGGTGTACAATATAGTGTTCAGCTATACTATTCCTTACCCAGTGCTTATCAAGATAAATGTACTCTTTTTTTTTTTTAATTTTTTTAAAGAATTTTTTTAAGGTTTTATTTGTTTGTTTAACAGAAAGGGACAGTATAAGCAGGGAGAGCAGCAGGCAGAGTGGGAGGGAGAAGCAAGCTCTCTGCTGAGCTAGGAGCCAGATATGGGACTCGATCCTAGAACGCTGGGATCATGACCTGAGCCGAAGGCAGCTGCTTAACGAACTGAGCCACGCAGGCGTCCCGATAAATGTACTCTTAATCATCCCCTCACCCCCCACCTCTCCTCTGTTCTATAGTTAAGAGTCTGTTTTTGGTTTGTTTTTTTCATTGTTGGGATGCCTCCAGCTTTGCTTTTATTTTTCAAGATGGCTTTGGCTCCTCTGGGTCTTTTGTGGTTCAGTGCAACTTTTAGGATTGTTCTAGCTCTGGGAAGACTGCTGTTGGTATTTTGATAGGGGTTGCATTAAATGTGGTGTAGATTGCTTTGGGTAGTACAGACATTTTAACAATATTTGTCCTTCTAGTTCATGAGTATGGAATATCTTTCCATTTCTTTGTGTCATCTTCATTTTCTTTCATCAGTGTTCCATAGTTATCAGCGTACAGGTCTTTAACCTCTTTGGTTAGGTTTATTCCTAGTTACCTTACTGTTCTTTTTTTGCTGCATTTGTGAATGGTGTTGATTCCTTAATTTCTCTTTCTGCTGCTTCAGTTTTGGTGTATAGAAATGTAGCAGATACGGGGCGCCTGGGTGGCTCAGTGGGTTAAAGCCTCTGCCTTCGGCTCAGGTCATGATCCCAGCGTCCTGGGATAGAGCTCCGCATCAGGCTCTCTGCTCAGCAGGGAGCCTGCTTCCCTGCCTCTCTGACTGCTTGTGATCTCTTTCTCTGTCAAATAAAT